TCTTTGGACAACATAAAACAATCACATCAGGAAAAAACCTGCCTATAATTTGAATTTGACAACACAATTCACTAAAAAGATCATAAAAATATTCAGAATATTTGAAAAGACAGAAATCCACTGTAACTCTATTTGTAATGATAGAGGGTGTCACCTGAGTTTAGGACTGTGAGATATACTGGCAAAGAGTATGTTGCTTATGCACAGAAAAGTTGTAAAGCAGTAAGAATTAGAGGTGAATATCCATATATACTTACATTTAGATATTGTAGGACTGTTGCATATCATAGTTATGGATGTTATATTGAAATGTACACTGTACTGTATTTTTTCCTGAAGTAAAATTGGGAATTTTACATATTGATCATTGATCATATCTTTCCTTCACCTTTACTGCAATAACTTCAGAAATTCCTTCACAATTCACAATTTTTTTTCTCAAAGAATATATATGGATCTATTCAGCTGTGGAAAGCTATATAGCAGAATAACATAACATATATAGCTACAGGTGACGGTTGTGTCCTCTGGGAAAACTGACCAAACACACTTGGCCTTTGACTAAATAAAACTTGAATGATTTGCAGCTAGAGAAAATGTCATCTGACTACTGAGAGGAGATTAGGGAGCAAGGAAGGAATTCTTTCTCACAGCCTGACTTGCATGTGAGAAGTTACCTTAGGTCCCTGCCTGACACCACTGCATAAGACAGGCTTGCTACATGCCACTGAGAGCAGGACTTAACAGAAAGGCAACAGCAGCTACTCAGAGAAGACCTCAAGGATAATGGTCAGAACCCCAAAAAACCCAGCCTCCAGTAGTGGCACATTCGTTACTTCTCTGGGAATCCCATCCCTGGGTTCATAATAAAATATTTCTGCCTTATATCTATCTGAAATCTACATTTTTTCAGCTTAAAACCAGTGAATCTTGTGCTTTAAATTCTTTGCTCTGTCCTTCTTACAAGCCCCCTTTAAGTATTGAAGGGCCTCAAGAAGGTGTCCTTGAACCTCTCTCATCTCCAGGCTGAACAATCCCAAGACTGGACATGGCAATTACTGCTGTGGTTTAGTGAGGGTGGTGGTGCTGTTTGGTCAAAGATTGGATTCTGTGATCTTGGAGGCCTTTTCCAACCATAAGGATTCCATGATTCTGTGAAGTAGCTCAGCTTTTTTTCATAAGAGGGATGTTCCAGTTCTTAGTCCTCCTTTGGAACCACTCTAACTGGTCCAGGACTTTCTTGTGATGGTAACTTCTTTTTCAAGTGATAGAGGAGCCAACATGGAGGAGGGTTGCGTTGGACCTTATCACCAACAAGGAGGGGCTGGTGGGGAATGTGAAGCTCAAGGTCAGCTTTGACTGCAGGGACCACAAAATGGTGGAGTTAGAGATCCTTGGGGCAGCGAGGAGGGGACACAATAAGCTCAGAGCCCTGCACTCCAGGAGAGCAGACTTTGGACTTTTCAAGAATAACTCAGGAGTGATGCATCCCAGCAAAGAGGAAGTCAGTCAAAAATGCCAGGAGGTGTGCATGGGTGAACAAGGAGCTCCTGGATGAACTCAAATGCAGAAAGACCTACAGAGGGTGGGAGCAGAAACAAGTAGCCTGGGAAGAATATAGAGAAATCATCCAAGCAGACAAAGAGCAGAGGAAAGCTAAGGCTGTGATAGAAATAAATTTGGCCAAGGACATCAAAAGCAACAAGAAAAGCTTCTGTAGGAATGTTGGTGATAAAAGGAAGACAGGAGAATTTGGGCCTTCTCTGGAAGAAATGGGGTCACCTCATTACCTGGGATCTAGAGAAAGCTGAGGTACTCAATGATGATTTTGCCTCTGTGTTAACCAGCAAGTGCTTAAGCCACATCATCCAATTTGCAGAAGGCAAAGTCAGAAAATGGGAGAATGAAGAACCACCCACTGTAGGAGAAGATCGGTTTTGAGACCATTTAAGGAACTTAGAGGTGCACAAGTCCATGGGACCTGATAAGATCCATCCACAGGTCCTGAGGGAACTGGCAGAGGAAATGGCTAAGCCACTATCCATTATACTTAAGTTGTGACTGTGTGGTGAAGTTGCCACTGTAGAAGGGGAAACAAAACCAGAGGTGTTTAATCTCTTTAGCCAAAAGGAGCAGAGGGTTCAGGGGCATCCTCAGCAAGTTTGCCAACAACACCAAACTTCATGTTCCTTATTAAAAGAAGTATGGGTATTCAAATGGCATAGATTTCTACAAGCCCAAATCTTTACCTCAAGATTTCTTTTATTTATGGTACAGATTGACAGGTCAAACTTGGAAAAAAAAGATATAAGAAACAACTGAGGTCCTGTCCTGGATGTGGGTACTTTCTGATTAATTAAAACATCATCAAGAAAAGAAAGAAACATCTATTTTTGAGCTGCACTGATCTGCATAGCAGAAATCACAGCACATCTTATAATACTCACCTTAGCAAAATTCATGCACAGGCTTATTATTCTTTCTTGGAGAATCTCCCACTTTTGCAATTTCAAGTGTACAGATTGGTATATCTGCACTAATGTAGGTATGCTCCTTTTCATGTATCAGAAGTGACCTCACATCACACTCTGAGACCTACCCCAGTAGTTCAGCTACACCCCAGCCTGTTATTTCTGTGACAAAATCTTGCCCTGTCTATGACTCTCAGGCACCAGCACTATCACACTGTCACAGAGATTGTTCCTCTGCTTTCAGAATCTTACCAGCACATCTGCCAAATGCTTTTCATAATACTTACTTCCCCTTAGTGGCTTGCCCAATGTATTCCTCCAAGGCATTTCTTACAAGATTCACACCATCACAAGGGAAAGATAAAAGCTGGCATTCCCATTGTACAGCTGGGGTAGCTGCAGCACAGACATACCAAGCAATCCATCCCAGGTCGTGCAGTGAGTCGGTGGGAAAGCCAGCAATAGAATCCATAAGTCCTGAATCCAAGTTCTTTAAGTGCTTCGACTAGTCCAGATTCCCTCCTTAACACCCCTGTCACATTATTTATAGGAGATGTATTCATATAGCCACCAAGACATCAAAATTTTCTAATTATATCTACTCATGTCAAATGACAATTATGCCCTTAGTTCAGTTTGCCAGACAATGCTTAGCCAGAGAGGGTTTGCCAAAATATTTTTGACCGAAGAAAGAGGAGGCATCTGGAGCATCTGCAGGCGAGATCGTATAAAATGTCCCTGCAACACGTCTGCCCTGGCTCCACAGAAAGCTCCAAGGTAAGGGATGGGGTCTGCAGGCTGCCAGGAAAGGGATGGCAGCCTAATGTGCCACCTCATTCCTGCTGCCCCTGGTGCTTCTGTGCAGGAGGGGACTCCATTACAAATCTGTTTTCAAGGCACCTGCATGTTTTCACTCTTGATTTTTGTGCAGCAGCAATTTAGGAATTGCCATTTCTGTTTTACAGCACTGATCAGCTGCCAGCCCACAAGCCACACATCTGGTGTCACGAGAGGTAAGAAGCTGATTTACTAATTCTTAGGGGCAGAGACAGATCCTTTTGGGTGGGGTGTGTGTATGGCTGAGTGAATGGTCACTGCTTCACTGTATATTCTTAAATCCACTGTAGTCAGAGGATAAGGTGGTGGGGTGCTGAAGGTTGGTATGGTTTTCAAGTGAATTATTGAATCACAGAATAGTCCAGGTTGTAAGGGATCTCATAAGGTCATCTGGTCCACTCTTTAAGGAGCTGTGTTTGAAGTCTCTGACTACTCATGGCAGGCCAGAAAATCCCCATGGGGACATTCTTCACTTCTGCTTAACTCACCTAACAGGGAGTGAGGTGCACTGCCTTCCCATCACTGCTGTTGTAGCTGTGCAACTGAACTAAGAATACAGCAGGAAAACTGCAAAATTCAGCATTTTGTCTCAGAATATGCAATGTGATATTTCGTCTGAAATTTGCCATGGAATCACTAAAGCAGTAAGGGCTGTAATATAAGAAATCAAGCTCTGATTGTCACCTCTGTAAAAGGCAATGCTGCCCTTTGTTTTCTGCTCTGCTTGTTTTCTACCTCACAAGAAATGGAAGATGCAGCCTCCCTCTTCTGGAAGTCACTACCTGTTCCTCCAGAGACAAACAAAGAAATATCATGTTATGTTTTCTCATTTTAGTAAAATAAACACAAGATTAAATGTCGTGTAAATATCAGGTACCTAACTCAATACAGAAAGAGATATTTAAATGTTTTCCTAAGCTGCCCAGTGTTTGGTTTTGCTTTTTTTTTCCCTCGGGAAAAAAAATTTTAAATCAGGCTTTAAAATTCCTGATTTTTAAATACGTCATTACAGCTTTAAATCTTTGAACTTTGTTTTTCTCTAAAATTCTACTAATTTTTAAAAAACAAAAGAAAGTACTAGAAAAGGAGCTATCTCAGTGTGGTTTGAACAGCACTAATCTTTTAACAGTCATGTTGCAATTTATGCCTGGATTCAAGTAGTCAATAAAATTAGAGAAAATTGTATTATTAATACAATTATAAAAAAGTTCTAAATACTGAAACTGAGTCATTAAGAAGCCAGAGTTTTCAGTGTGCAGTTCAGACAGTGGAGTATGAGCATTCTGATCTTTGTAAAAAATTATAAATTGTGAGAAAAGAGGATTATAATATTTCAAAATTAATTTTCAGAGTGCTTAAGCAGTTGAAAGGATTTTTGAGGTTCTTAATTCCATAGTACAGTGCCTAAATAGTTGAATTCTAAGTATCTATAGATTATTTAAATGTGATTTCAGTAAAGGCCAAATAATCTCCCTAAATATAATTTTGAAGTTTTCCAAAAATATTGAATTACACCAATGCAAAAATTCGCAATTCCTTCCAAAAGGCTACAAGCTGTATTGATATAGTTTCTTCTTCTCCACAACTTCTCTTTTCTTCTCCTAACAAGTGCTTACTTTCTGGCAAATTTGAGTAACATATCTGCTCCTCCACAGTGTTCTCTGCGGACCAGCCCCTCCATAAAGTGCAGCCATGTCTACGGACGCTGAGATGGCTGTTTTTGGGGAGGCAGCTCCTTACCTCCGAAAGTCAGAGAAGGAGAGAATTGCAGCCCAGAACAAACCTTTCGATGCCAAGACATCAGTCTTTGTGGCTCATCCCAAAGAATCCTTTGTGAAAGGGACAATCACGAGCAGGGAATCGGGAAAAGTCACTGTCAAGACTGAAGGGGGAGAGGTGAGTCAAAAACAAGGCTCAAGGACAACATTTGCTTCCCTCACTGGGTTCTTAGCTGACATATGAGGATCTTTCTGTTTCCTTGGCAGACCCTGACCGTGAAGGATGACCAAGTCTTCTCCATGAACCCTCCCAAGTATGACAAAATCGAGGACATGGCCATGATGACCCACCTGCACGAACCCGCTGTGCTGTACAACCTCAAAGAGCGTTACGCAGCCTGGATGATCTACGTAAGTGGCAGCAGCAGCTTCCTCTGGGCAGCCTCAGCAGCTGCTGGGCCAGCCTCAGGGCAAGCCAAGGTGCTGTGTCCCTTCCTTGCAGACCTACTCGGGTCTCTTCTGCGTCACCGTCAACCCCTACAAGTGGCTGCCGGTGTACAACCCCGAGGTGGTGTTGGCCTACCGAGGCAAGAAGCGCCAGGAGGCCCCTCCACACATCTTCTCCATCTCTGACAACGCCTATCAGTTCATGCTGACTGGTGAGTGGCTCTGTCTAGTCTTTAGGCACATTGGACCATTAAATTCTTTTAAGGGATACCCTATCTCAGCAAAGTGAAGAGACTGTTTCAAACCTTTCTTGGATCTGACATACACATCTGTTGGAGTTTACTATCTTCATAGCATTGTTTCTGCTCTTTTAAATGAAAGATATCTCTGCACTCAGTGATGTACTTTGCTTGTTTATGTGAAGCTGACATCAGGCAAAACATTAGACTTACCTGATTATGTTTGATTCTTTCTCTGTTGGTTGTTGAGTTTTGAGCACTGTGTTTCTGCCTTGTTCACAGATCGTGAGAACCAGTCCATCCTGATCACGTAGGTACCCCCCTGCGCGGGTCCCTGCGGGGCTGCCCGGTGCCAGGGCACCTCCTGCCTGACCACGCACCCTCTGCTTCTCTCTTGGCTTTGGCAGCGGAGAATCCGGGGCCGGGAAGACTGTGAACACAAAGCGTGTCATCCAGTACTTTGCAACAATTGCAGCCAGTGGAGACAAGAAAAAGGAAGAACAAACATCAGGCAAAATGCAGGTAAATTAGTTGATACATGTTGGGATCAATGCTTTCCTTTGTTCTTGACATGATTTTTGGAAAGGATAACTAGCAATAATTATCACCCTGCAGGGAACGCTTGAGGATCAAATCATCAGCGCCAACCCACTGCTGGAGGCCTTTGGAAACGCCAAGACCGTGAGGAATGACAACTCCTCACGCTTTGTGAGTTGCTTAACAAAATAATTCCTGTGACATAGTAAACAGGAGTTATGTCAGTATTCTTTTCTGTTCAGCCATCCTGTTTTCAGAAGTAAAACTGAATTTTCTTACCATGGCTTTGCCACTTATCCTAAAGATCATTCTCCAGATTTCACAACACAAAACATAATTCTGTTTTAAATTAAAATTAAAATGCAAATAATGCCATGTTATGTGGTGTTTCTCCTAGAACATACTGTAATGTTAAAAAATAGCTCTGTTTATTTTTACTTACATTTATATTAATTTTCTAAGAGATAGACAAATTGCAGGAAAAAAGGGAATGAGGTTAGGAGAGAAGAAAGAAAGAAAAAGAAAGATTTTCTAATTGAATATTTGCTGTATTTCAGATTTAATTAATCAGAAGTGAAGTTTTTTATTAGATCACAATTCAGATTTAAGCAGCTCAACTACTTGAATTTATATTTTTGTATCATTAAGGATCCTGCTCTCTGTGTGCAGGATATAGTTAGAATAATTTGTTGAATGAATTTCACACATTCCTTCTCATTTGTTCACTCAGCATACTTAAAATACAGTTTTGCCCCTGCTGATTATTTTCATGGTCAAAAATGAAAAAGATAACTTTGTGTTAGTGGTGCAAATACAGAGATTTTAAGAAAATGTCTCTAAGTAGAAAACTTGTGCCAACTTATTTATTTCAGATATACTTTCTATGTTGTAAATCTTAAAACACTTTTATTCCTTTAAAGGGCAAATTCATCAGAATCCATTTTGGTGCCACAGGAAAACTGGCTTCTGCAGATATTGAAACATGTAAGACACTTCACAGCAGTTTCCAAATCCATCCATTCCCCCGTCCATACAACATCATCTACACTGCCTTCCCTGTTGTCTTCCCATCTTCCCTTTTTTTTTTTTTTTGCTGTTTCTTCTTGTTTCTAACTAGATTTTCCCTCCAGATCTGCTGGAGAAGTCCAGAGTCACTTTCCAGCTCAAGGCGGAAAGGAGCTACCACATCTTTTATCAGATCATGTCCAACAAGAAGCCAGAGCTAATTGGTAGGAAGAATTACTAACTTGGAGGAAGATTGCTGAGTTTCTGCTCACACTATTACTTGCTTGGCTAAACTAAGCCTACATGACCCATCTTCTTATTTTCAGACATGCTCCTCATCACCACCAACCCATATGACTACCAGTTTGTGAGTCAAGGCGAGATCACTGTCGCCAGCATTAACGACCAGGAGGAGCTGATGGCTACAGATGTAAGTAGCAATTCAGAGTATTGTAACTATTGTCATCTCCCAGGCAAAGCTTTTTATTTTACTGTCCCTATTTCAGAGTGCCATTGACATCCTGGGTTTCAGTGCTGATGAGAAAACAGCCATCTACAAGCTGACAGGGGCTGTCATGCACTATGGGAACCTCAAGTTCAAGCAGAAACAACGAGAGGAGCAGGCAGAGCCTGATGGCACAGAAGGTATCAGCAAAATCTTTGGCCAACCTGCTAGAAATAGAAGTGGAAATAATAAATCAGTATTTGGAAGATGGAGTAGGAATGTGTTTAGGTGAGATGGTACATAGCTATGAAACTGCCATCCAAAATGCACTCTTTCTTCAATTACTGCTCATCATTATCTGCTCTACCAACTGCATACATATCCAAAAATCTCTCCTGAGCTATCATTCTGAATCAGCATAACTTGCTCATATGCTGAGACCCACTGAGAAAGAAAAGATTTTTTGAAAAAACTCATTTCTGCTTGATACTTAAATAAAATTTACATTTAATTGTATTTAGTTATAGAACTTCTACTTCATAAATCACTTTTTAGGGAAAAAAACCTCATGAATTCCTGGATTAATTTTTCATAAATATATTGTTTCTAGAAGATTCTGTGAAGATTTTTAAAGACAAATATAGCCTTTAGATATCAAACATTCAATGCAAAGATGATTTCAATTGAATAATTATGTCATGGTTCCTCTGAGAGCCAGTAGGCAAAATTTGATAACAAGAAAATTAAATATTGTAGCTGTTTTGTGAAGGGTTCATCACTCAAAGTGCTGCATGTTTTGCTATCCTTAATTTTTCTATCTCCTTGTTCTTGTACTTAGTTGCTGACAAGGCTGCCTACCTGATGGGTCTGAACTCAGCAGACCTGCTCAAGGCCCTCTGCTACCCCCGAGTCAAGGTGGGGAATGAATATGTGACCAAGGGCCAAACTGTGCAGCAGGTAACAACAACCACTTGGTGACTGGGAACCTCTGACTTGAATCACTTACTATTTGCTCTGGAAATTGTATTTCTTCTGCTCCATTCTCCTTTGGTTTAGGTATACAATTCAGTGGGCGCCCTGGCAAAGGCTGTCTATGAGAAGATGTTCCTGTGGATGGTTGTTCGCATCAACGAACAGCTGGACACGAAGCAGCCCAGGCAGTACTTCATTGGTGTGCTGGACATTGCTGGCTTTGAGATCTTTGATGTAAGGATTTCAGGTTTCAGGGCTACTCTTGAAGGGAAAGATTGTTATATCAGAGGACTTGCAAGTAATATTCCTCTGAATGTTTAACATGCTAGTCATTTGTGATTTTATGTAGGAAAAACCCAAAAAAAATTCTGCTGGATTTTCTTTTCCAGCAGAAAACAAAATCCCCAAAAACTCCATCAGTAGAAGCACAGAGTCATGTTGTTTGTGCAGAAGCAGCAAATAGAATTTTATACGTTGTAATATTACAATTGTTTGGGGTTAATGTTAAGGATTAAATAACCCAAAATAATTCCAATAAATTTATAAAAGAGCTTCTGGAGCAGAGCTAGGAGATGCATTGGCAAATATATAATGAGTTAAAGATGTTCAAAATGTTTAAAGAACCAAGGAATAAAAAGGGTTTTCACTTTGGAGACAAGAGCAAGCACTCATCTTGTTTGCTGAATAAAGAAATTATTAATTTTAGGAGATTCACTAAAAAATCTGCTCTGGAAAAAAAGCCCTCATTTTCATTATGTAAGTATTTCTTTCTGGAGCTGCATATAGGTTCTGTTATGGTGAGGTCCTGGTAATACAGTTGTGTTTTAACTGGGGAGATTTATAAAGGCTGGAGGAGAATGATGAAGAACTTGGCATATTGATGAGGGCTGGTTGTTGTGGATTTTTCCACTGAGCAGTTCAACAGCTTGGAGCAGCTGTGCATCAACTTCACCAATGAGAAACTGCAACAGTTCTTCAACCACCACATGTTCGTGCTGGAGCAGGAGGAGTACAAGAAGGAGGGCATTGAATGGACATTCATTGACTTTGGCATGGACCTTGCTGCCTGCATTGAGCTCATTGAGAAGGTAAGTTTTTAATTCAACATCTCATTGTTTTAAATTTCCAGTGGTTGGATACTTGTATTCAGTTTTAATTGCAGAAATACATCTTGACCTGTACTATTGCTAATTATGCATTATAGATATTACAAAGTCCACTGAAAACTATAGAAGTAATGCTCACACATTCTCTGCATGGAAGGTATCTCGTTTGCTTGGCTAAAGGATATTATCTTCAAAAACACAAGGCAGTTCCTAAAGTAAACTGAAAACATTTTCTTAGGGTTCTGGAATAAAGTTATATGGAAATGGATAACTGATTATCCATACAGTTATCTGTAATGGTTCTGTATGGTTCACAGCAAAGCAAGTACAGTGCCTGACCTCTGAGAGGAAGAAACAGAGATTTCTTGTAGTTCCTTATAATTTAGGGGACTGATTGAAAATTCAAAACCACAAGTAAATATGCCATGGACACATTTGTGAAAAACACTTTAAAATATATCCTTTCTCCTCATGAACTTTACAATGGTCTTTGGCATAGAAAACATTCCGAATCACGATGCCAAAGTGTAAATCAAGCAGGTGAATCTTTTAAACTCAATTTTTAGAAAGAAATTTTCTACATGGCAATGTTTGTTTTTCAGCTTCCGGTCTTTTACTACATTCTTTTTGAGACCAAACCATATTCATATATTCTACAGGCATTCTCTCTTGTTTATTGAACTATCTTCCAGCCCATGGGCATTTTCTCCATCCTGGAAGAGGAGTGCATGTTTCCCAAGGCAACTGACACCTCTTTCAAGAACAAGCTCTATGACCAGCACCTGGGCAAGTCCAACAACTTCCAGAAGCCCAAGCCTGCCAAAGGCAAGGCTGAGGCCCATTTCTCCCTGGTGCACTATGCTGGCACAGTGGACTACAACATCACTGGGTGGCTGGAGAAGAACAAGGACCCTCTGAATGAAACTGTCATTGGGTTGTACCAGAAATCTTCTGTGAAGACCCTGGCTTTACTTTTCGCTTCTTATGGTGGAGGAGAAGCAGGTTATTTTTCTAACTTTTCTTTTTCAACAATTAGGATATGTAAAGATACAACAAAAAAGGTTGTATGTTTATATTAAAAAAATTCTTTTTTTTATTTTAAGAGGCTAGTGGCGGTGGTGGTGGCAAGAAGGGAGGCAAGAAGAAGGGCTCTTCTTTCCAGACTGTCTCAGCTCTTTTCCGGGTAAAGTATGCATTCATTTTCTATAAAGTGACATAATGTCGAAACTGAGCTAAATACACTCAGGTTTGTACTCTGGCATTGGTTTTATAAAGAAGCTATACTAAGTATGAAGTGCATTGAATTGTGATTTTCTGTTCAAATTTAGGATTCAGTCTTCATTTCTTTTAAAAGTTTACTCCCATTTTTTGGGAAAAAGTTTTTTTCAGAATCTGTCATGTAACAAAAATATAAATATTTATCCCAAAAGCGCTTCTCTTAAAATATTTGTAGAGTAGTGTTTTACTTCTTCCAAAATAAGGCAAAAAAAATTAATCATTTTTTAATGAGAATATTTTTCAATAAAAAGTATATATAAGGTTTCATTAAACCAGGGTATCAAATTTGAAAGCTTCTTCTCAGATTTATTATATTAGTTCTTTGGCCTCTAGGTACAAAGTATGGAAAAGTAAATTTCCTTCATCTAAACTACTATGCATGATCCCACAGGAGAATCTGAACAAGCTGATGACCAATCTGCGGAGCACTCACCCCCACTTTGTGCGCTGCATCATTCCCAATGAGACTAAAACACCTGGTAAGAACCACAAGCTGAAAGATCCCTGCTCTGATACATCCATTCCCCTCTACACTGCAATCTGTGCCCCTCATTTGTGCTCTGCATTGCCAGGTGCCATGGAGCACGAGCTGGTGCTGCACCAGCTGCGCTGTAACGGCGTGCTGGAAGGGATCAGGATCTGCAGGAAAGGGTTCCCCAGCAGAGTCCTCTATGCTGACTTCAAACAGAGGTAAGAGCTAGGAAATGAAGAGATAAGTCAGGTGTCCTCACCAATTGCTCTCCATCACACAACTGAGCTTTGCCAGGGTCTTTATGTATGGAGAGATGAAATTCCAACTTCCTCAGCCTGGTTCTGCTGCAAACACTGCTCTTGCTTTCAGTGAAGAGAACTTTCTTATGACTGAACATTGTCTTCCTCCTGTTTCCTCCAATTCCACAGATACAAGGTGCTTAATGCCAGTGCCATCCCTGAGGGACAGTTCATCGATAGCAAGAAGGCTTCTGAGAAGCTTCTTAGTTCAATCGATGTGGATCACACCCAGTACAAATTTGGACACACCAAGGTACAAAACCCCCCATTCACTGCCTGCCTGGGCTTTGCTCTGCCTGACAGTGATGAGCTGCAACGTTCCCTCTCTCAAAGGTGTTCTTCAAAGCTGGGCTGATAGGGATCCTGGAGGAGATGAGAGATGAGAAGCTGGCACAGCTCATCACCCGCACCCAGGCCAGGTGCAGAGGCTACCTGGCGAGGGTGGAGTACCAGAGAATGGTGGAGCGCAGGTACACCTTCCTCTTCTTCAGTTAAAGTCATTTTGCTCATGGAAAAGTGTTGACACTTATCAGACTGAGAATATTCATTGTATGTTTTAATTATGCCTCAGGGAATCCATCTTCTGCATCCAGTACAACATTCGCTCATTCATGAACGTCAAACACTGGCCATGGATGAAGCTGTTCTTCAAGATCAAGCCCTTGCTGAAGAGTGCAGAGTCTGAGAAGGAAATGGCCAACATGAAGGAAGAATTTGAGAAAACCAAGGAGGAGCTTGCAAAATCTGAGGCAAAGCGGAAGGAGCTTGAAGAGAAAATGGCCTCTCTAATGAAGGAGAAAAATGACCTGCAGCTCCAAGTGCAGGCTGTAAGTAACATTTTTCTATACTTTTATAAGAAAAGTAAATACGATCTAACTTTCCTTTCCTAATACAGTACTCTCAAATTATATACTAAGCCTTCTAAAATACTTTAAGCATAATACCATTTAACTAAAGGCCACATTCTTTCTCCACTCAATCTTACTATTGAGAGCTGTAATTTAAAAAGTATGAGTTTTTAGTCTTCATACCTGCCTGTGTCCATGTGAGTTCATAAAGCCATATGAGAGACATTATGTGAGACATAAAGCCTTATTGTAGTCACTGTAGTTTATCTAGTGGAGCAGAGACAGTAGCTTGACTGACCTACTACTCTGCCTTAACTCAGTTGTCAAAATGAAGAGCTGATTACCATTTCTTATAGCAGATGTCACCTCAACTCCTGCACCTACTACTCCCAGAAAACAGATACCCATTACAATTTACAACACAAGCATCATCTCCATATGTGTGTCTCCAATGTCTTTTGGCCTTCCAGAAGCATAAAAAATATTTTGGCAATACCCTAGAGCTGAAATGTCTGTTTCAGGGAATGATGACTCTCATTCTATTGTCCACTGACACCATTGGCTGAGTATAAACCTACTAATTGGAGTTTCAAATATTTCCTTGGAGGTAGAGTTATTTACATTTCTCAACACTTCCACATAAATATGAGTTTAGTACAAAGACACAATCACTTTCTAAAGTAGAAAAGGAAAACATCAGTTAAATCTAAGTGACTTTCTGATATACCCAAAATAAATAGGTTGAAATGAAATGTAGCTAAACAGAGCTGTATTAGAGATGCAAAAAGGTCCAACAAGAAAAGTAACTAAAACATTTTCCTAGATTTGTAGTTTCCAAGGTAATTGCACACTCTGTTTTTTCCCCAAAAGTAATTTGAAAGACTTGCCAATTCACATAGGTTCCTTCAGTACTAAATAACACTTCCTGCATATTCCCACCAGGAAGCTGATGCTTTGGCTGATGCTGAGGAAAGGTGTGACCAGCTCATCAAAACCAAAATCCAGCTGGAAGCCAAAGTCAAGGAAGTGACTGAAAGGGCTGAGGATGAAGAAGAAATTAATGCTGAGCTAACAGCCAAGAAGAGGAAGCTGGAGGATGAATGTTCAGAGCTGAAGAAAGATATTGATGACCTTGAGCTAACACTGGCCAAGGTGGAGAAGGAAAAACATGCCACTGAAAACAAGGTACACACATTGGCAGTCACATAAAGGGTCATGAAATTACAGACTCAGAGTAAAAGGCAACTTACCAAAAGACATGCTGACTTTGGAAAATCTTGAGCTATGCGTCTCTGAGAATCCAAAAGATAAATGAAACATAAAAAGCAGTGAACCTGTTTTCTTCCAAATTTTAAAGCATGCTTATATTTGTAGGTGAAAAACCTCACTGAGGAGATGGCAGCCCTGGATGAGACCATTGCCAAGCTGACAAAAGAGAAGAAAGCCCTCCAAGAGGCCCATCAGCAGACCCTGGATGACCTGCAGGCAGAGGAAGACAAAGTCAATACTCTGACCAAGGCCAAGATCAAGCTGGAACAGCAAGTGGATGATGTAAGCACACAGATATAGAGGCAGGAACAGGACAGGTATGGAGTCCAACGTGGCTGGTAGAGGGCTGATGGTCTTGTTGTGTTTAGCTGGAAGGGTCCCTGGAGCAAGAGAAGAAACTGCGCATGGACCTGGAGAGAGCAAAGAGGAAACTGGAAGGAGACCTGAAGCTGGCCCAGGACAGCATCATGGATTTGGAGAATGATAAGCAGCAGCTGGATGAGAAACTGAAGAAGTAAGTGTGGTTCTGGGGCACCTGAGTGCTGGGCTGCAGCACTTGTCTTGTTTCTTGGAGCTCTAACATGGTTCACTTGTCCCAAAGGAAAGACTTTGAAATCAGCCAGATCCAGGGCAAGATCGAGGATGAACAAGCCCTGGGCATGCAACTTCAGAAGAAGATCAAGGAGCTGCAGGCAAGTCTCTGTTCCTTGCCCTGCCTTGCTCAGCTCAGCTCAGGCAGGAGGAGGGCACAGCTGTGAAGGGTCCCTGCTGTTCTGCAGGCCCGCATTGAGGAGCTGGAGGAGGAAATTGAGGCAGAGCGAACCTCTCGCGCTAAAGCAGAGAAGCATCGCGCTGACCTGTCCAGGGAGCTGGAGGAGATCAGCGAGCGCCTGGAAGAAGCAGGAGGAGCCACAGCAGCTCAGGTGGAGATGAACAAGAAGCGTGAGGCAGAGTTCCAGAAGATGCGCCGTGACCTGGAAGAGGCCACGCTGCAGCACGAAGCCACGGCTGCCGCCCTGCGCAAGAAGCACGCGGACAGCACAGCTGAGCTGGGCGAGCAGATCGACAACCTGCAACGCGTGAAGCAGAAGCTGGAGAAGGAGAAGAGTGAGATGAAAATGGAGATTGATGACTTGGCCAGCAACATGGAGTCTGTCTCCAAAGCCAAGGTATGGAAAAATATGAAAAAAACTGGAATATAAATAATGTTGAAGTATATCCATTAAAATTATGGACAGATGACCATCTAACTTATGTCTCTGTATAGATCTTGTTTCTAACCTTCTAACTCCAAGGAACAGTATACAACTTGAAAGTCTGTTCACTTTTATCTGGTTAGAATGCTGCTGTTCATAATAAGAAGGCATCCAGATACTAATCTTCTTTCATTCTCTGTGATCTCCACAGGCCAACCTGGAGAAGATGTGCCGCACTCTGGAAGATCAGCTGAGTGAGATTAAGTCCAAGGAAGAAGAGCATCAGCGCATGATCAATGACCTCAATGCTCAAAGAGCTCGTCTGCAGACAGAAGCTGGTTAGAGAGACTCCAATATGTTTTGGCATAACTCCTAAACCAGCTTGTTTGGGTCATGAGTGACAATTCGAATATCTTCTTATTTGTATGCTTCCCCAGGTGAATTTTCACGCCAGGTAGATGAGAAAGATGCTCTGATTTCTCAGCTGTCAAGAGGCAAACAGGCTTTCACCCAACAGATTGAGGAACTGAAGAGGCATCTAGAGGAGGAAATTAAGGTTATTCCTGATTTTTTACCACTGGCTACTGGGAACACGTGTAGCTTCACACTGCCTAGTGGGGACAGGATCTGCTTAGCACAAGCCAAAAGGCCTCCTGGGGGAAGGCTTTTGTTTCTGCAATAAGTTTGATTAATGGATTTTGTCACCAGTCCTACATCTGTTCTTCATTGCAAACATTCCTCCAGCAGTCGTGTTTGTAGCGTGATGTTAATTCATTGGAAGAGATTTCACGAGATATTACCACTTCTTGACACAACCCCACTCTCCATCTAGGCCAAGAACGCCCTGGCCCACGCCCTGCAGTCCGCTCGCCACGACTGTGACTTGCTCCGGGAACAATATGAGGAGGAGCAGGAGGCCAAGGGGGAGCTGCAGCGAGCCCTGTCCAAGGCCAACAGTGAAGTGGCCCAGTGGAGAACCAAATACGAGACGGACGCGATTCAGCGCACGGAGGAGCTTGAGGAGGCCAAGTACGTGGGGAAGCAGAATGGAAAATGACAGGAGAAGACTGAAATTGGTCACAGGAAATTGGAATGTCTGAGAGTAGGTTAAGATAAGAATGGGATGAAGGCAAGAATATAGATTTGTAAAAAAAAAGGACAGAGAGGAAGGCAGAGAAAAAGTGGAGATAGGAAGGGAAAATATAGGCTTTAGGACTAGAAGTGCTAAGACAGGCCTAATAGGTGATCGGACACAGCAAAGTACAGATCCTTACATATCTGTGAAAAGTGCACAGTTCAAAACCCTTAAAGTGATCAGCTCACCTCTCATGACAATATAGAACTGATTCCCTTCCAAGCTCTAACATGCAAATGTGCTTGTCTCCTCCCAGGAAGAAGCTGGCCCAGCGCCTGCAGGATGCAGAGGAGCATGTTGAGGCTGTCAATGCCAAATGTGCCTCCCTGGAAAAGACAAAGCAGAGGCTGCAGAATGAAGTGGAGGACCTGATGATTGACGTGGAGAGATCCAATGCTGCCTGTGCTGCTCTGGATAAGAAGCAGAAGAACTTTGACAAGGTCTTTTGGCCTCCAGCCCCAGCACTCCTGGCCAGAGCAGGGCCCCGTGATGGCCACAGCCCTACTCACCCCCCGTTTCTCTTCAGATCCTGGCAGAATGGAAGCAGAAGTATGAGGAAACGCAGGCTGAGCTGGAGGCCTCGCAGAAGGAGTCGCGCTCTCTGAGCACGGAGCTGTTCAAGATGAAGAATGCCTATGAGGAGTCCTTGGACCACCTGGAAACAATGAAGCGGGAGAACAAGAACTTGCAGCGTAAGCCCCTGGCCCTCTGCTCCTCCCTGGCCTTTCTCACAAGCTTGTCTACCTGCCACACTTAACAGCTCTGGGCCTGTAGGGTTAAGATCTTGCCTGGCACCTTGATGCACCAGAGCCTTTCTCCATTCAGCTCTCTGCCTGACCATGGCACTTTTCTCCCTTCATTGCAGAGGAGATTTCCGACCTCACGGAGCAGATTGCTGAGCAAGGAAAGGCAATTCATGAGCTGGAGAAAGTGAAGAAGCAGATTGAGCAGGAGAAATCTGAAATCCAGGCGGCTCTGGAGGAAGCTGAGGTACATGACAACAACCACTGGCATCTGCAGTAAATAAATGAGGAAATAGCACTGAAAAGGCCTGGAACAGAGTTACACTCTGTTCTGGCTGAGGAACAGCTGAGATTTCTGAAAACATTTTTGATTTTATCAATATTTGTGTCCACTTTTCTAGGCCTCCCTGGAACATGAGGAGGGGAAGATCCTCCGCCTGCAGCTTGAGCTCAACCAGGTGAAAGCTGAGATTGACAGGAAGATAGCAGAGAAAGATGAGGAGATTGACCAGATGAAGAGAAACCACCTCAGAATTGTGGAGTCCATGCAGAGCACCCTGGATGCTGAGATCAGGAGCAGGAATGAGGCCCTGAGGCTGAAGAAGAAGATGGAGGGAGACCTGAATGAAATGGAGATCCAGCTGAGCCATGCCAATCGTGTGGCTGCAGAGGCACAGAAGAATCTGAGAAACACCCAGGCAGTGCTGAAGGTATGTTACACTAAGAATGTGCACTTTGGGTTTTTCTTTCCAATGCTGGCTTTGCTGCAGTCCTCTAGATACATTCTAGTTCCTTAATAACTCTCCTTAACTGAAGAGCCCAGAACTGGATGCAGTACTCAATGTGAGGCCACAAAAAAAGGAATTCAGCTCTAGCTCTGCCTTGGCTTTTGTAATCCTATCCCCACACATCCTGGCAGCATCTCTATATTCTTCCAAAGATTTGCTGCTTGTTCTACCACCAGTGCATTTCGTTTTTACACTTCAGTTTGACCTGAAGGTCCTTGCTCAGCCATGCTGATCTGGCTGTCTTGCCTGATTGCTTACACATATGAATTGAGAGCTCCTGCACTCCAGAAAAAACATTCTTAACTCGGTTTTTGCTTCTTTATTCTTGAGAGGAGTTTCTCAATGGGTTTTCATCCAGGAATTCCTTGAGAAACACAAATCCACTCTCCTAAAATTCGGGGACTTGACCTTACTCTTCAGCTGTCCCAGATTCTCATGAATCAGCCTCCAGCTGACTTTTCTAAGATACTGTGCACAGAAGGACAATAAGCCCACATATAAATATATTCCTATAATTATATATATTATACTACCATAATCATTGTGGGACTGGTGGCAATTGCCATTGTGCGACAATGCTGTGTCATCTTATAATTTCTCTTGATTCTTCACTTTATAATTTCTCTTTATTCTCTACAGGACACCCAGATACACTTGGATGATGCTCTCAGGACTCAAGATGACCTGAAGGAGCAGGTGGCTATGGTGGAGCGCAGAGCAAACCTGCTGCAGGCTGAAATTGAGGAGCTCCGGGCAGCCCTGGAGCAGACGGAGCGGTCGAGGAAATTGGCTGAGCAGGAGCTTCTGGATGCAAGTGAGAGAGTTCAGCTCCTCCACACTCAGGTTAGATTCAAAATCTCATGGGCAATTTTCTTCCTTTATAGATTTTCTTCTGTGTAAATTCCTAAATCAACTCTTTTAATAAAGTAGTTTATCTGAACCAGAATTATTACATTTGTACAAAGAAATGGATTACAGCAAAACGAGTAGGATTGCAAGAGCAGTCAGAAGAGCTGCTTCAAATTTCAGTAATTCTCTGCTATCTAGCTGTGTATGACCTGACAAAATACATCAGGAAGATATAAGATATTTATCAGATATTTATCAGATATATATCTGATATCAGATATTTAGAGGATAACTTTACATTGAAACAGTAAATTTCTTAAGTAATTGGTTTTTTTTGGGAATAACTGCACATAATTTTATTGTTCAACAGAACACCAGCTTGATCAACACCAAGAAGAAGCTGGAAACAGACATTGCCCAGATCCAGAGTGAAATGGAGGATACCATCCAGGAAGCCCGCAATGCTGAGGAGAAGGCCAAGAAGGCCATCACAGATGTGAGTTGGACACTCCTGGCATTGCTGCTGATGAATGTAGTCTCCCCAAAATATCTCCAGCCCCAAAATGGCTTTGACCCTTTGCTCTGATCAGGCGGCCATGATGGCAGAAGAGCTGAAGAAGGAGCAGGACACCAGTGCCCACCTGGAGAGGATGAAGAAGAACCTGGACCAGACAGTGAAGGACCTGCAGCACCGTCTGGAAGAGGCCGAGCAGCTGGCACTGAAGGGAGGGAAGAAGCAGATCCAGAAGCTGGAGGCCAGGGTGTGTAGGGCTGGGGCTGTGGCTGAGTGAGCGTGTCCCTCCTTGGAGAGACATTGCCAGGGCAGCTGCAGGGCTGGGCTTGTCCTTGCAGGTGCGGGAGCTGGAAGGGGAGGTTGATGCTGAGCAGAAGCGCAGCGCTGAAGCCGTGAAGGGTGTGCGCAAGTACGAGCGCAGGGTGAAGGAACTCACCTACCAGGTAAGGCAGGAGCTCTCCTGCTCTCACTGGGCTTTCTCACAGTGAGTCACATTTTGCCCACACCATCCCCATGGGGAATTGTTAACCTCATGTGATGCAGAACCAAGAATTGATTGTCCATTTGCCAAACATTTTAGTCTGAGGAAGACAGGAAGAATATTCTCAGGCTGCAGGATCTGGTGGACAAGCTGCAAACGAAAGTGAAATCCTACAAGAGACAAGCTGAGGAGGCTGTAAGTATCACTCTGAGAATGGGTAAAAATTCCATTAGGGCAGAACACACATTGAATGAGTCTGAATACCAGGAGGGGTATGAAAGAAACTCCGAAGACACTAAATTTTTGGCCATGCTGTTTTGCTATAGTTTCATGAGGCCTTGGTGAGCTCTGGGCACCCTGCATTCAGGGACATTCATTAAGGGAAGCTCTGCAGCCTGTTTCACAGAGGAGGCCAGAGTAAACAAACCCAGGGGCCACACCCAGTGACTGACAAAGTCCTGAATCTCTGCTACTAATCAGCAGGAGAAGGCTTCCTGGTCTTCTTAACCCCATAATTCATACAGACAAGTAGTGTGAGGGTAATTACAGAAATGATAAATCGAAGGGATGAAATAGATTCTCACATGTGACACAGTCCTGGTGAAGCTTGTCCCAGTAGGGTCCTGTGAAAGGGAGGATGAGGAGCTCTGTGTGAGTCTGATTTGCAGCCCCATAAGGCTGACTTGCAGCAGGATGAAACCCCTGCCCTGGGCTCCTCACCCCTGACTCCCTCTCCCCACACAGGAGGAGCTGTCCAATGTCAACCTGTCCAAGTTCCGCAAGATCCAGCACGAGCTGGAGGAGGCCGAGGAGCGGGCTGACATTGCAGAGTCACAGGTCAACAAGCTCCGAGCCAAGAGCCGCGAGATTCATGGCAAGAAAATAGGAGAGGAAGAGTGAGGATGTCATGAGGCATCAGAGTGACCTGAGTGCTGCACAAAATGTGAGCCCTCTGTCCTTCTTCAAGTGTTCATAACCATGTCTATATGTAGAGAATAAAGAACGTAGATTTCGTTGTGTACACAGCAGAATCCGTGCTTTTGGTCAATTCAATTCTGCAGTTACACAAGTTTGGGGCATTTTCAAATGAAATATTTATTTCACTTTAAGCCTTGCATAACAGTGCAGCTTTACTTATCCCATCTCCTGTATTTCTCCACTCTGTCTTACTCCCATTACCAAGGTGCAATAAGACTAATTGAATTTCCATACTGGGAGAGGATCAGAACAAAGGCAGGACAAGCACCTTTTCTGTGCTGGCATAGAAAAAATTTGTTTTTCTTTGTGCACCGTGCTTCTACATGGGTACAGTACTCGGAGGTTCTCATTGATGGTCCCATCATCACTTGGGCAAGTGGTATTTAGAGGGAAGTTTCCCCAAGGGAAAACATCTGTAGTCCCGAAAACATCTGTAGTCCCAAAAGCATCTGTATGTCTCTGAGTCCTTATGGAGGAGCTTAGGCAAGGACTGATGTGTGCCTTAGAACAAGGCAAGTGAAGGCCAGTAACTCTAGAGAGTGGCTTGATACTGAAGAAATTCAAAGATCATACAACCTTGTTAATAACTTCACAAATATGGTGTTAACAATAAGTTTCAAAGAAAAACAAATAATGTATTATTTGGATAAGAAGATATTGCAGTGCCTTACTCTGTGAGGCAGAATAGCCAATACTAATATGTTCCAGTTGTAAATTAAATTGAACTTAATGAACAGCTTGGTAGAAGTGTGAACAAGAGGATAAACCCCAAGCAGTGTAAAATGTAGAGCCACCAGAACAAGTGGGAACAGCTGCACTACTGTATAGTGTTTCCAGTACTGAAATGTATGAGTTTTTGTGCTAAGGAATAATTAAGAGTAATGTACAAATACAAAAAGCTAAAAGAGCTGGTTTTCATCATGCAAGGTAAGTCTTCAAGTGAAAATAATACTGAGAACATTACAACTTGAAAGGAATCATAAAATCTAACAATTTACAGAGGCAAAAATTTACAGACAGTGAAGACAAATTGTATCCTACCTGTCTGACTCTTGCAGCACTGGAGTGGAATGTAGATACCAACTGTATTTCGGCTGAACAGAAAAGAAACAAAACATCTACATAAGGTGTACTGGTCTGAAGTCTTAAATGACAGGCTGTTTCCTGCAAGGCAAGAAGCAGTATTTAAAATAGGGAACCCCACTTGTAGCAGTACTGGACTCAGGCACATTGCACTGCTGCCAAGGGCAGATTCTACATGAAGATACCATTTTCCATTTTACCATTGTAAAGCAGACTTGGCTCTATCACGCTACAGGAGCATTTGTGGATCCCTCAAGGTTCCTGGCTAGGTCTACACGTCTTTATTTATGGGGAGTGCTTCAAGGAGCAGTGAAACTGTTGGGGAAAGGAGCTGAAGATGTTGGAAAGCAGATGATGAGAAAAAAGCAGTATTGAAGCCTTTTGCACTGCACCACAGCAGTCAGTGTTCTGGACTGGGAGGTCCTCCTCCTCCCAAACACACTGAGATTTACACCCAAGGAATCCTCCCATTTTATAACTAAATATGGAAGTAGTCTTCTAGGCAGCAGTTAAATATATTTAAGGAAAAGATGACACTCTGTGTTGACTCTTGTGTCACTGTAAGTGATGCTCTTCAGAGACATCATCTCTATGTGTGAAGCTGTGAAAACTTCATCAGTGCCATATCTGGGCAACAAAGAAGGGAAATGACTCCTCTGCTTTTCCCTTCCCATAATATGCTCCTAAGAGAGAGGTGGTATCATTTTTCCAGACAAATCCTTACCTGCCACACCTTGAAATAAAGCAGGAGAATTTCTTTGTTCTAACGAACAACTTTCTTTAAACAAATAAACCAACAAACCCCAAAAACGTAATTCAAAAATCAATGTGTTACAACTGTGGCGCAGTGAAAACATGAAGAACTATTTCCAGCTCCATCTGTACCTCTTTAGAGCTGCTGACAGAGTAGTAAATACCACAACAACTTTGGGGACCATATTTCAATGCCAAAACTCCCTGTTCCCTTTGGACAATATTACATGCACCTTCCAAAACAAACAAGCTGCTCTGACTGTGGAAGAATCAGGATGCACTTGAAGCACCTGAGACTCTTGGGGCTCCTCTCTCACCTGTATTTGTTACTATTTTGGCCTGAGGATTTGCTACTAATGCTCAGCTGATGAAAGGTAACATTGCAGGTCCCTTAAGAGACAACACCTGGGGCCAGAATTTACACTGCACAGGTGGGAGAGAAATCACACAATTGCACTATGCTGAGCTGGCCTTGCTACCAGGCAGCCCAGAAAGCAGGGCTGGAGAGCTCTTTGCTGGAATCAGAGAGGAATATTAAAGGGATGAGTAAGGAAAACCAGTTTCTCCTCACTTTTGATTTGCTGCCTTGGTGGAGGACAAGCAGTCATTTTGCATCAACACACTATTTCTGGAGTCAGGCTGCTTGTGATATAAAATGTGCTGATGCACAGGTAACTGATCTAGGAAGAAACATGGGCCCGTAAGAGGCCTAAAGAAACGAGTCCCAGAGGAATTTTAAAATAGATGCAGCTGATGAGCGCCACTAGAGTGGCTGCCCCATGGGGAATATAGAGTGCTGTGACCTTCAAGAGCTTGGGCATGGACAACTGTGTCCCCTTGGCACCAAAGCATCAGCACTTTAAAGGCACTAAGACATTATATGTGAGTCTTACTTCATCATCCTTTCTTTTTCTTTTCTCAGTACAAGCTGGACTTTTTTTCTTTCTAATACTGAACTTTGAACACTGATTTTTGTCATTTCTGCTTCACCTTCCAACATCTCTGACATTTCCAGGCACTGATCTTCCTCCCATTGGCTTATCAGTCCTTCCACTCTGCTCATCTTCTCTGTAATTGAAGCTCCAGTGTGTGAGAAAAAATGTATCCCCTACATCACTCTGATATTATTTAGAACACTGCTCAGATGTCATCTTCTCATGTTTGCTGGTAGAAGGAGAATGATTAGCTAACTGTGATGCAATTTCAAGAGCTGTTTATCCTGACATTTCAGGTCACAGTTTTTACCTTCCTCTGCTCAGTGAAATGACACCTTCCTCTTACCTGCAGATAATCTGCCACTGCAGTTTTTCAGGAAGCCACTTGGAGTCCCCACTGAAAAAGGATGGCATCACCTTTACAAACATGTAAATCACAACAGTCCCTACCAGGAAAAGCAACACTGATTTCCATGAAATGCAGCATATCACAAGCATAGGAACAACTAAGACTAGAGGAAAAGGACTTGAAAAGAGCAAAGACACCAATTCATACAAATTAACAAACAGAAAAAAAACCAACCTCACTCCGCTCTCCCTGCTCCATAAAATCTCCACCTACACAGCTGCCCCCAACCCCAGATTTCACCAGCAGCATTACCCAGGGCCTTATGCTCTACTTCCCTGGATTTTAGCTCTCATCTCTCATAGCCCATGCAGTGAACATCCTGAACTGCTTTCCATCCCAAAGGATGCATTCAAGTCTGTCATTACTTATGAAAATTAACAACTTTCTTCTAGGTCGGTCTGTGTTTCTTACTATTTATTTTTCATTCCATGCACCAGCATGGATTAGGGATGCCTAATAGATCTCCAAACCATGTTTCTTTGCTGGGCAACTCATCACAGCAGCCACAGTATGACACACAAACAGCCTGCAAGAAATACACTTTACTTTAGTCTGATCTGATTCTTCCTGGTTTTTAAATACAAAGTATGTCCTTACCATTGCAATGGTCCAGTGCTCAGCTAGGTCTTAGTAGAAGAGTAGGGATGAGAAGTTTTGCTCCAGCAGATCAGAGCATCAGCATTTGTTTTCAGCATGTGCTAATGCTCCTGGGAGCTCTCGTTTTACCCAGAGGCAGCAGAAATGCTGCTGCAGCAGTGTGAATATTCCCTGCCAGACAGTTAATCAGGGTCCACAGGGTGCACTGATGCCTCCAGCACACCCAGTTCATATGACAGCATGGCTGACTGCAGCACTGGCAAGCTGCAGATCCCATGGTGAAGGTTTTTGAATATTATATCTGGTGAATCAGATAATTTGAAGGAGTAAATGTGAATAGCAGTATTTTTGTCTGTGTCACCTGTGAGGTTATTGGAAAGCTCAGGGAAAAAATGGAGAAGCTGGTGAATTTCTGGGACAAAAGTCCATCAGGGGCCATGAGGCTCCCGCAGGTCCTTCTGACAATGTGGGGGCTGTGGGGAGCAAGGTGGGGGGAACATTCTTCATCTTCCTTCAGGACACATCCACACTAAACACCTTAATCCTTCCAGCACACATCCCCTCACTTGCACATGGATGGTTCTCCCTCTGGCAAGGCAAAGCAAGGCTCAGACACTTGTAGTGAAAGCCCTCTATCAAAAACATAAGTCAACTTTTGTGATAACAAAGGCAGTTCCTTTCTGCTGCCTGCTTGTAGGTAAAGAAGCTGAAGTTTACCTATATCCCCTATTCTATCTGGAGGCTATTGGGGTTCAAATTTATGACAGACTGACTAAATGATCCAGAATGGTGAGGCTGGGGAAGATTCTCCCACCAGTCAAGCCAGCCCTGAATGCCTCTGTGAATCATGAGACTCCAGTGTTCTGCCCACTGAAAGCTCATTCTGGAGGGGCTGCCATGGAGTGCTCCTGTGGCCATAGCAGAGACCAGACCATAGTTCAACATTTGGTGGGACCAGATGACAAGCTGGGGAGAAATTCTCTTCTCCTGGGACCATACCTGCTCAGTTCCCCTTCAGGAGGGATTTCCAGACCTGCCTTCCAACAGACCATGTATGGACTAGAGTAAGGACTAGGAATGACAAAGTCTGGGGAAGGAATGACTGTCCAAAGGGCTGTTACCTTCTGCAAGACCTGCTACAGGAA